AGAGGAAAGAGACTAAGTCTTAAATCGATCAAGGAACATCAAATTGTTTTCGAGGAATACAAATTTTTTAAAGGTAAGTTATTTAGATCAAAGCAAAGAAACACGACTTTGTTTACACACTAAATGACTGCAACTTCTTATTAATTTTTACTCTTTGTGATTAAACTCAGTTTCTTTTGATTATCTTGATAGATTGAAGCTTTACAAAAGTAATAAATGTGTATGAACAAAATATCAAATACTATGAATAACACTCTAATACCGTTTTAAATAGAAGGTTTTCAATTAATTTTGTTAATCAAAKGGGGAAAGAGGCAGTATGAGTATTGTCTGTTTCTCCATTTTCCCCGTGTTTTGTAAAATATATTTCGAGTGCAGTTTTCAAAAAGTAAACATTACTAGATGTTTAAACAGTGAAATATAATTTTCGGTGRCCTCTTGAAGGTTTTGTAATGAGTTTTTGGCATTGCATTGATATAAATTGCTTTTATTCTCTTATAAAAAATAGTGTAAAAAAAACAACAAAACAACAATTTAAGAGTAGATCTCTGTAAGACTCAAGCAAAGTGGGAAATTAATTTTTTTGACCACCCTTGAAATTTGGTGTTCGAGTAGACCATCATATGGGATGTGTAAAAACACCAACAATTTTGTCACCAAATGTACTGTTGCCATGGAAACGGTAAGTGTTTTACGAGACCTTAATTTACAATTTTTGGAATGAATTAAACCCATTCGAAGTTAAAAGTGGTTTGTCAAATTATAAGGCCTAAAATTCAAAATGTCCTAAATTCAATTATAACTAAGCTTTGAAAATTAGCACCAAAGAGATGCAATAAGCTAAACAGGTATTAGAGGTTGAAAGGTAATACCTAAACAACAAAATTCTAGCAAAGAAAAATAACGTTCTGGTCTGCAAACACGGTAAAATTAACTTTTATTCAAAGTAAATAAACAAAGGGTTATTGGCAATTTTCGTCATTTTCAACCTATCTTTATCAATTCATCGATTCTTTTGTGGTGCTCAACTTTCCAAATTTTCACAAGGAAATGTTTCTTGGATACTCAATAAGCATTTCTTTCAAATTTTCTCAAAATGAGCATATTTATTATACTTTGTAGCCTTCAAAAATTCAGCATTCACTATGAATGTTTTATTGTTAATCGAACGAGAATTCCATGACTTGTGTATTCTGTTGAAATTACTTTATAGAACCACTTTATTATTTTCTTGGATTTTAGCTCTTTACGACCAAGGTAGCTTGGTAAATGTTTATTGAGTGTCACTACATTTGGTAACCAAATTGTTGGTGTTTTTGTGCATCCCATATAATGGCCTATTCGCACTCCAAATTTCAAGGGCCGGGTGGTCAAACAATTTCACTTCCCACTTTGCTTGAGTCTTACAGAGACCTACTCTTAATATAAAAGAAAGAGAGAAAAAAGAAAGAACGAACGAAAGAAAGAAAAACAAAAGAAAGAAAAGAATAGAAAAGAAGAAAGGAAGCAACTAAAAAAGTAGAATGGAAAAATAAAAAGGAAAATGTGATATTAATTTTTCGCGATATTTTGGTGCCAAAATAACAATCTTAATAACAAAATCCTTAAAATGTTGATTCAAACTGAACGAATCCAAGCGAGCTCTTAACATTTATAGAACATTTATTGATGTTTGTCTCTAGGAGTCTCTAGGCATTTTTCATTTCGCGCTACMAACGAAAACATTATGACGACCATCCCACCCATCAACACCGCTGGTATTTCAACAGCAAAGGCTCCCGCAGCAGAACCAGGTCCAGACTG